GAAACGACTCCTCCGACAAAACACTCACAAAAAGAAGGACAAACCACACCAACCACCAACAAACGACTCCTCCGACAAAATACTCACAGAACCAAGGACAAACAACAATGAACAGCACATGTTGTATGTCAATTTCGTAGAAGTATAGGTGAAAAAAAAACTTAATTATATTATGCAAAGGAGAAGCTGGAGAAGTTGAGCAAATGAAATATTTATAATCAAAGTCAATCTAGAGTAAATTCATGACATATAGAGAGAATAAAAATCTAATCCTATGTAGATTGTAATTAAACTTGAATATGACGTCAAACACAAGTGTTAATAAATTAAAATAAATGCAAATTATCGTTGATGGTATTAAATGGATTTTTTTAATTATTATTATTTATTTGATTATTTTTTAATTTTTTAGGGGGGGGGGGGGGGGGGGGGGTTGTTGTTGTTGTTAGAGATGAAAGGTTGTATATTTAAGGCTGGATTATTTTGTATTTACTGTTGTGTCTAAAATTGATTGCCTTGTATCAAAAATCGACATAGATAAATCAGCCTTTTACAATATGTTATTATTTTTGTCATGGAAATAATTATCTAAGCTTTATCAGTAACTTGTATTCGTTTAGACCTTCGGTTATTTACATCCTTGTCCTATGGTATCTGACGGGTAGTTGTCTTGTCCTATGGTATGTGACGGGTAGTTGTCTTGTCCTATGGTATCTGACGGGTAGTTGTCTTGTCCTATGGTATGTGACGGGTAGTTGTCTTGTCCTATGGTATGTGACGGGCAGTTGTCTTGTCATATGGTATCTAACGGGTAGTTGTCTTGTCCTATGGTATCTGACGGGTAGTTGTCTTGTCCTATGGTATGTGACGGGTAGTTGTCTTGTCCTATGGTATGTGACGGATAGTTGTCTTGTCCTATGGTATCTAACGGGTAGTTGTCTTGTCCTATGGTATGTGACGGGTAGTTGTCTTGTCCTATGGTATCTGACGGGTAGTTGTCTTGTCCTATGGTATGTGACGGGTAGTTGTCTTGTCCTATGGTATGTGACGGGTAGTTGTCTTGTCCTATGGTATCTGACGGGTCGTTGTCTTGTCCTGTGGTATGTGACGGATAGTTGTCTTGTCCTATGGTATCTGACGGGTAGTTGTCTTGTCCTGTGGTATGTGACGGGTAGTTGTCTTGTCCTATGGTATGTGACGGGTCGTTGTCTTGTCCTATGGTATCTGACGGGTAGTTGTCTTGTCCTGTGATATTTGACTGGTAGTTGTCTTGTCCTATGGTATGTGACGGGTCGTTGTCTTGTCCTATGGTATCTGACGGGTAGTTGTCTTGTCCTATGGTATCTGACGGATAGTTGTCTCATTGGCAAGCATACCTCATCTCCTGATTTTAAAATTGATTCATTAGATCGGTACTCAGCACACAAATCATTAAAAGATAATAGACGCAAAGTACCGATCTAAGAGTTCTCGCATTTACTCAAAGCTTATTCAAATCACAGTTTAAAGTCACAAATATATCATGTTCTCACAGACTAGTAAAATGTCATCAATTAGTACACCTCCAACGTATTTTGTGTAAACACGTCATGCGCAGTCTGAAAAAAACATGACCTTGTGCTATAAAAAAATATAAGTATTGACAAGATGAAGGACAATACGTGTTTTAACACATTAAAATACCTCAGTAGATCTTACTACGATGCAGATTAAATACGTTTTGAGAATAAGTTTATTCGAATGAAGTTTACATCGATCATATCTTAATTTACGAACTCTATATACCACATCACCGTTTAAATATGATGTGATTACTCATTTGTTACAAGAGTACATGTACAGTAAAACTTTCAAACTAAATTTTTGTATCTATGAACAAATTTAGTAAAGGTTTTAAGAATGTTGTCGTAACGAAATCCCTGAATTGTTTATTTAACAGTTACACTAAGATAACGTTCATTGAAATCTAAAACGTCATTTCAGAGACGGGCATAGCGATCGAGTTGAAAATTTACAACGAGTAAAAAGGTGCCAACAGAACACCACCGTACACAAAAAAGGAAAGAAAATTAACACAAGTGAACGAAAATTCGTTTCTTTTCTTGTATAATTTAGTAAGGATGTTCCCCTGTGAAACTAGAATATCCGAATTCAGGAAAAGACAATCAATGCTATAAACTTATATTTATTCTAAATAAATTCCTTGAAGTAAATTGTCTCAGTAGAATCAGAAATGTCTCGGTTACCTCAAGCAAAATTGTGATCCAGGTAATGGCATGACAAGTGTTACATGTTCAATCAAATGGAATTAAGCAAGATGAATCTTTACCGAGTTTGTCCGTAAACTGTGACTCATAACAATACAGGAACAAGTCTGCTGTTAAAGGGACACAATTGGTGTCCTAGGAATACTTATACAATCTGTCGATAAAGTGTATTGCTAATTGTTAATTTATTTCGGTCCATCATCGACATCACCGCCATGGCTAAATACAGCATAAAGGTTAAATACCGGTACATTTTTTATTGTCCAATGTCGTGAAAACTATAAAAGATACAGAAAATCGTGTCCAAAATGTCGAAATGTCAATATCTACTTACACAATATGTGAACCAAGATATCCGACGAGTTCTAAAAGATGTGTTGGTCCTTATATGACGTTTTTAATCAATTTTATTATTTTTGCCTATGATTATGAACTACATAGACAGAAACTGTATTCAATAAAAATTATCAGCAATTAGAGATCTCTAAAAATGGCAACATGAATTATACCATAAATATGTTACTTTAAGGAGTTATTGCCCTTAAAAGGCAATTTGTAATGAATTTTAGCATTTCTGGTAATTATCTTAAGTGTATTAGATAAAAAGAAACTGTATTTAGGAAAATTATCAGCAATACAAGATCTACAAAAAATACTTAGTTTTTGTAAAAAATAATGTCTATTCTTTGGTAGGAATTATTGCCCTTAAATGACAATGTAACTCATTTTAGCGTTATCGTCTTGTATCAGGACAACTGATATCGATAGTCAAAAAGAAAATATAAAACAGCCACAAAAAAATCAGCAATACAACATCTACAAAGAGCAATTGAAAGTTCTGGTATAGAAAAATGTAATCTTGATTTTACGCAAATATCAATATCAGTTTTTTTAGATAGGCGATCCAGACTCATTGTAGGCTCTGGTTCTTATAAATGTATCTTTAAATTATATCATTTCATCTACTATAATAAATGTCCTTCTAGTTCTTTCTTTTTCTCTGCTACGTTCGACATAATTGCGTAATTTTTGAACTAAATATCCTCCCTGGAAGCAATTATTCGAAAACAAATTATGTATTTTGATATGTTTCTTCTAATGCTTCCATCGGTTGCGTTTAGAATCGGAAAAAATAGATAACACAGAGAGCTTTTGTGAAAGAAATATGGATGTGCATAAGTTGTCAATGAGTCGGAAACGTTTTAAGTGGAAATCAATGTAACATAGACATGTAATCAATATCATAGAAATCTAATCAAATAAACACAGAAATGATTCTGCTGGGTTGTAAATAATGTCATTATACATACTCATTTGATGTATACAAAATGAACGATCAATGTTGTGTACCAATTATAAATTTGTACAGAATTATGCCTTCATACGGACAATTTAAAATATTTTTTAACTTAGAATCTGGTGTAAGCGAAAAATATAAAGAGAATCCTTTGTAGTTTTATGACAGGATTAGGATGTAATTTCATTGAAAAGCATACTCATAAAGCATTTACTATTTGAAGGTACCCTATAATAGAAATAAAATGAGGCAATAGTTTTCATTTTCTGTTTTGGCCTTTGACCCGAAGCATCAATCTGACTTTCTGAAATACAAAAAAGAATTCTGTCGATAATCCAATTTCCAATAAATAAAACTTTATAACTTACAAATATAACTACAACAGCACAAGTCTTGCACAAAATGTGCTGAAAGGGTGCAACTACTAATTCTGATAACTTATGCTTCTTTTACTTCACAATTTTGATTGCCGAGTTTATGAGCTTCGGTCCTTGCTTAGAAGTTGGCTGGACTCCTGTGGAACCCTCTACATTTACCTACAAGAATTGTAGATCCGCGGCGGATGTAAAAATATAGGACATTACGACTCATTACTTGAAGCAAAATAAAGTATTACATGTCAAGCAAATTTTTTTCGATGATCACAACAGAATTGGTGAGATATCATAATACATTAAATAACATATATGGAAGAAAGACATAACTGCAATATCATAAAATGACGATATTATTAATAGGTAACATTTTGATAAAGACAAAGATTAATAGGTAACATTTTAATAAAGACAAAGAGCTATAAAACATCAGTTATTTCAAAAAAGCCATCTTGTTCATTTAATACTCTACTTAGCTCTCATCCCATATTTTACTGACTATGTATATATCGTATTAGGTCACTCTGTGTAACTAATTGTATCTGAATACAAACTACTATAATAACTAAATGTGATGCAATCTTCGACTTAATTCATCTGACTCCTGTTTGTGTGTTACTTATGTTTACTCCCCCCCCCCCCCCCCCCACACTTTTGACTTTGAAGTGCGGTAGTTTTGTTAATACTTTTTATCACAAGCGTTACAAAAAAGTCATTTGGACTTTTACTGCAGATTTTATTTAATCGGCCCAGTTAGTTTTAAACAGAGAGATTCTGGTTATATTATGAAGTGTTTGTATTAACACCGCCAGCTTTATTTACAATAATACATTAAATAACAGTTATGCAAATATCTCAGGCACTATTCTATTACATTGTAAATATCTCAGGCACTATTCTATTACATTGTAAATATCTAAATAACAGAGCTTTAGTAAGTACATATATCGTTGTTATCTTGTTTTTTCGTTTTGAAGTACTAAACACATTTTTTCAATTGTTTTTGTGTTTTTGTTTTTGCTGTTTAGAAATTTAATGCGTTTTACTTACATTCTATTTTAGATAAATGAGATTGGATTAATGTATACAGATTTAGGAGGTTCACATCTTAATTATCTGTATGTCACGATGGATTTTAGACCTCAATGTTAAAGACAGATACAAGCAGTTGATGAGAAACATGTTATGCGCATGCGGCAACGAATCTACAGATAGTGGACCAATAATCGACATAGATCAAGTGTTACAAGACTACGCATGGCGAGAATTAAAGCGAGACGCACGATGGTATCAGAGTCCACTGTTACGTCGATCTTTTTATGAAATTGAAATCCCCTGGAATTTCTATGAATTTATACATAAAACTGTTAACTTTAGTTTGCGAAACAATAATCATATATCGTCAGACGGTTTGAAGAATCGTAAACAGGTTGAATTATTTTCAACACAATACGAAAACAACACGGCAAAAGATCAAGTGTATAATTTGAAAACAAACAGACAAACACAGGCTCGAACATACGTTTCTTTTCAGAAAGGTTTTGCTATAAAGGGAAAGGCAAATTTCAGTATTGATATCCCAGAGCGATTCGGTCACTGCGGAGTTACAGCTAGTGCTAGCGGAAAATTGAAAGTAACGAAAATCAGAGGGGAGAGTTTGGAAGAAATGTTTGCATGGCAAGTTGATAGTGATATAACTGTTGATCCATATCACGTGACCAATGTTAAACTTGTAGTCACAGAAGATGAGTTCGTTGCAGACTTTGAAATTAAAACCACGATGCGGATGCCTACTGGCGAAGCGCCGATAATTCTGAAACGAAAGCGGGACAATCACATACAAGCAGTACTTCTCATATCAGACTTACACGAAGCATTTTCTGATTTAAGCAACACAGTCGTGAACTTTGTAAAATCAGAATCAACTGGTTCATCAAAGGGAGTGGTTGAATTCTGCACGACCGGAATTCTTGACAGCGTTCGATGGCGAGACCAACGAATTACCATTGAATCAAAACCTCTATCTCCATCGATTACAGAGGCAGCCGATCTTCTGTATGATATACCCCTCTATGCCAAAGACATATACAGCCAAGTAATCAAACATGCAACCAAGGAAAAGGAAAATCGAATAGACATGTATACACAAGATCAAATCAATCAAGGTGCTTCTGCTTCGTTGTCGAAAACGGAAACACGTGATTTGCGATTAAACATAATTCCAAAAATCATCACCGAAGGACCAGATTCAGACGTATTTTTTAAAGATTCGGAAATATCTATGGGTGATGCAATTACAGCGCTGTCTGTAGCGGCTCATCCTATTATACGTCAAAGTGAATTGCCAAAAGTGTCAGATGATATCAAAGTTGATATGCCAAAAGTACCGGAGCCTCAACAACCAACACAACAACAACGACGACCGTCGTTGACATCGCTGAAACGATCTGCTTATGATTCTCCATTACAGGTTATCAAAGAGCTAAGTCTTGAAGATAAGCAGAAGAGTGAAGATTCCACAAACTCCCCAGACTCATCTGATTCACAAAGATTTTCTAAAGTTACAAGCGTATGAATTTGAACCCATCATACACTAAAAAAATGACTCCTGTTTTATTTATCGTTGTGCACTTACATTAATATCTTTAGAAATTATCAGACCATTGTTTTTGAAGCATAACGTGTAAACCAATTCTTTCATTTATGCACTGTTCATGAATCAACTCTTTTTAAGTGATACAAAAAATCCTTTAAATGTAGATGACTCGTGTATCCTAGTATCGTTTTGATGTAGTCGTTAGGTGTAACACTTCCTAGAATATGATATTTGCGGTACAAACATATCTCACTAATAAAGTTTGATTTATCATATAGGTCTATATTTTTCAACATATATATTTGCATTGAAAAATTTCCATTTAAAAAATTTTGCGATACACGAATTGGTCAATAATGTTATATTAATATCTTTTATATTTGCATTATTGGCATACATAGGATAGTCTTTCGTTTATATACGCATAATATTAATAAAATGAGATATGGGAATAAACGATAACCCTACGTTACAAAAAACGCATCTAAAGGTCAAAATAAGGTTTACAGTATGCAAGTTTTATCATTGGGCTTCTTCCACCAATAAAAACCGACCGCCACGAAATAGCAAAATAGTGCTGAAAGTGGCGTTAAACACCAAACAATCAATCAATCAATTATTCGGATTACGAGATGGTTACCGGTACAACGGGAACGTTGAAAAATTGGAAACGTGACATTTATTGAAGCATCTGCCGTGTGTTTCATACAGGTGAATTCGACAATTTTCTTTGTTCTAACGCTAGATAACTCAAGCGCTCCTTGAGTAGAAATAAGAAGATGTGGTATGATTGACGATGTGACAACACTTTTGTTTAATTTCATGCGTGTGAGGAAATATTGCGCATTCGATTTGGAAAAGTAGTGAGATTAAATGACTATTTTGGTATGATAACTGCTTAAAGGTTGTAATATAGTAGTATGTGTTTTATATACGCTTGAGTAACTGAAGTTACCATATAATGAGATTTTAAGTCTTCTATGGAGCTTAAAGCACGAACTATAGAACAAATAAAACATTTTTGAAACGAAAAAACTTTTCTTGAATTTCAAAATTGTTTTTGTTAACACGTAAATTATTCTTGGCTGAATAAGGCAAGAATAACATTTTAACTACTAGGGGGGGTTCCTTAAGCAAACAATTCAAACTTTAAACAAAGTAGGAAATTTGAAAAGGTACTTTTTGATTTGATTAAATTTTCCTATAGTATCGTATCGTGTACCTGATTTTCAGCACTACAGATAAAAATTTGCTCCTCCCATAATACAATACATGCTTAATAATTGACATCCAATAAACCAATTTACTTGTGTTGTATATATTTATTCTCTTAATTGGTATTAATGGACAAAACAACATTGAGATAACAATATCAAAGTACGATTTACAAAGCAAAGCAATAAAAAGATAACCAAGTCAGTAGTAAACACTAGAAGCATTACGACCATGGGAATCATTTGGTGTCAAAACCATCAATTCAAACTTAATTTTACTTTAAAAGCATTCTATCGATTTAAAACTACTGAACACTGTTAATCGCTCCTGAATGGTAACTTTGATTATAACTGTTTATGCCAATGCAATTTAATGGAGACTAGAACGTGTAATAAGTGCCAATTTACTTCAGATTTTAGCTCCGGGTGCTGAGATTGTTAATTTTATTTTCTCCCTTGTTAATTTCAAATCGATCGCATCTTTGCAAGTAGGAAATTGTAACAAAACGAAAATATAGGAAAATCAACACAATAATGCATTATAGAAAATTTTTTGTTCATATGCACATCTCTTTTTATGTTAAACCGTTATTTACACTGTAAAACCCAATATATTACACCAGAGTAATGCTTAAGTGGTAACAATTAAAACAAGTCGACAGTTGACAGGTCGACAGGTTTACATGCAGTTGACAAGTAGATAGTCGACAGGTTTGCATGCAGTTGACAAGTAGATAGTCGACAGGTTTGCATGCAGTTGACAAGTAGATATTCGGCAGGTTTACATGCAGTTGACAAGTACATAGTCGACAGGTTTACATGCAGTTGACAACTAGATAGTCGACAGGTCGACAGGTGACAAAATTATGAAAAATGATTAAATCAAAGTTATACCAAAAATTATTACTATAGTGGTTGATGGTCGACAGGTCAACGGGCCGGACCGTCGACAATTGACCAATAATGCCCATTGGTTTATGTCGACCTTTCAAACTGTCGATCTGTCGACCTATGTACATAAAAACTAAAACTGTCAACCTGTCGACCTATGTATATATAAACTGATTTATCCCTCTATTCTTCCGATGGAACTACAATCCCGTATATCCTACTTGACCCAAACCCATAAAAGATAGTTTTAATCTGGTATGCCAGACGTATGGTTTGTCAACAAAAGATTCATTCATCAGTGGCATCCGAACCAAAACAATTGGAAAGCCGAATCACTTACAAATTTGAAGAGCATTGGAAACCCTGATTTAAATAGGTTAAGCCATATCTGATCTAGGAAATCTAGTCATAGGATAGACCTTAGTGCTTCTAATAACTTTAAACAGAAAAGAAATTTAGTCTCTTCCTGAATAGGACAAAAGCACCAGAAGACTAGCACATTTCGAGTAAATGTTTTCATCGCTAGATATAATTAAATGTTTGGAAAAGACTATGTGACACAATAAAAATAGGTAACACACAGCGCTTGCGAAAGAGGGAGAGAATGCTTGAGTTCAGAAAAGTGCAACAAAAACATTAGGAGCACAAAGCATACCTGCAGAGTTAATAGGAACAGTAAATTGGGGATAAAGTTTCAAACAATTACTTTTTGAGCGGCGCACTCGTATCAAAACTGTGATTTGATGGGATTATATTATATTCTACATAAATACATTGGTCATAGTTAATGTTCCTTACACAATTTACACCAAACGGCATGACTTTGCTTTCTTCATTCTTGCAAGGCTTGAATCTCGAAAGTATCGCTGTCAGGGAAATAGATATATAATCATGACAGGTGATAACATGCTACATAAATGTAGATTTATAACTAAACATACAAATAATAAGGGGATGCTATACCATTGTTGACCTTTGCAATATTGTATTGACAAAGAAGATACGATGCTTGCTCTAATTTTAGTTATATTGTCCGAGGTCATCGGGAGTATTCCTTTTGCGGAAGACGGCCGGAACGATCAGATCATGTATCGATTGTAGGCGATTAAACAAGAAACAATGAACGACGCATATCTGTTACAAAGATGCAAAAGTCTTAAGTGACATACATGCAGAAGCAAAATAGTTTTCTACTTTTTGCAAGGTATTAATGGGTAGAAATGAAAGTTAAAAACAGACATTAAAGTGCTTTCTTAACTAGGAATGGATTGTTCGGAGACTCAGTAATAAGTTTTGGGTTGTTCAAATGTGAAGTGATGTTTTCAAAATTAATGAAACTGTGTTGGCTGAACTGTTCGAAGATATCTTCTAAGTTCAAATTGATGTTTTGATTGTTATAAGAATGACATTTACGGCAACAGCTGATTTAAACATGGGCTGAAATGTGAACATTTGCAGCTGGTATCACTTTCGATTCAATGTTTATATGTCGTTCTTCATCTGAAGCATTTTCCAGATCATCATAATGAGCATCTCGATACTATTGTTATCCAAAATCTCGTAAATACATCTAGAATATACGATAACAAATTAAGATTTAAAAAAGAAATAATGGCATGAACTCCAAACTGAGCTACAACGGATAAATATCTCTTGATTTGTCTGTATTAATACAATAGGACACAATCGACAAGTTTACAAATAAGACGACTGGTCTTGATGCTTCAATCATCATGTGCAATTAAGTTTATTTCGTAAATTTTTTGTTGTTTTCGCCTAAATACTACTCTGAGATCCATACATTTGTATACAACGCATCCGCTGAAATGTCTCCTGTAATAATTCAATTAAAAAATAATTTCCTTGTATCAGACAATTGGACTGACATTGTAACAACATATGTCAGACATTTCAATTTTTTATCGTCTTATGATCTGGACTGAATATGTCCCAGGTCGCACTATATCGTGAGAGCCAAAAAGACAGACACTGGAACTGATTATTTCAAGAGGGGATTTATTTCAGGGACTGAGCCCCCATTTTTGCCACGAGAATTCAGGAAAAAAACTGTTTGTAACTTGTTGAAAACGTCTAATGAAACTCCGGTAATTTCAAATCGATCGCATCTTTGCAAGTAGGAAATTGTAACAAAACGAAAATATAGGAAAATCAACACAATAATGCATTATAGAAAATGTTTTGTTCATATGCACATCTCTTTTTATGTTAAACCGTTATTTACACTGTAAAACCCAATATATTACACCAGAGTAATGCTTAAGTGGTAAAAATTAAAACAAGTCGACAGTTGACAGGTCGACAGGTTTACATGCAGTTGACAAGTAGATAGTCGACAGGTTTGCATGCAGTTGACTAGTAGATAGTCGACAGGTTTGCATGCAGTTGACAAGTAGATAGTCGGCAGGTTTACATGCAGTTGACAAGTACATAGTCGACAGGTTTACATGCAGTTGACAACTAGATAGTCGACAGGTCGACAGGTGACAAAATTATGAAAAATGATTAAATCAAAGTTATATCAAAAATTATTACTATAGTGGTTGATGGTCGACAGGTCAACGGGCCGGACCGTCGACAATTGACCAATAATGCCCATTGGTTTATGTCGACCTTTCAAACTGTCGATCTGTCGACCTATGTACATAAAAACTAAAACTGTCAACCTGTCGACCTATGTATATATAAACTGATTTATCCCTCTATTCTTCCGATGGAACTACAATCCCGTATACCCTACTTGACCCAAACCCATAAAAGATAGTTTTAATCTGGTATGCCAGACGTATGGTTTGTCAACAAAAGATTCATTCATCAGTGGCATCCGAACCAAAACAATTGGAAAGCCGAATCACTTACAAATTTGAAGAGCATTGGAAACCCTGATTTAAATAGGTTAAGCCATATCTGATCTAGGAAATCTAGTCATAGGATAGACCTTAGTGCTTCTAATAACTTTAAACAGAAAAGAAATTTAGTCTCTTCCTGAATAGGACAAAAGCACCAGAAGACTAGCACATTTCGAGTAAATGTTTTCATCGCTAGATATAATTAAATGTTTGGAAAAGACTATGTGACACAATAAAAATAGGTAACACACAGCGCTTGCGAAAGAGGGAGAGAATGCTTGAGTTCAGAAAAGTGCAACAAAAACATTAGG